CATGTCCAGGCCCGTCTGAAGTTTGCCAGAGAGCACATGGATGATACAGCAGAGGATTGGGAGAATGTCATGTGGTCAGATGAAACCAAAGTACAACTGTTTGGTATAAACTCAACTCGTCGTGTTTGGAGGAAGAAGAATACTGAGTTGCATCCCAAGAACACCATACCTACTGTGAAGCATGGGGGTGGAAACGTCATGCTTTGGGGCTGTTTTTCTGCTAAGGGGAGAGGACGACTGATGCGTGTTAAGGAAAGAATGATTGGGGCCATGCATTTGAAGATGAAACGTGGCTGGGTCTTCCAGCATGACAATGATCCCAAACACACCGCCCGGGCAACGAAGGAGTGGCTCCGTAAGAAGCATTTCAAAGTCCTGGAGTGGCCTAGCCAGTCTCCAGACCTCAACCCCATTGAACATCTGTGGAGGGAGTTGAAACTCTGTGTTCACTGCTCTCGAGAAGATCTGCATGGAGGAATAGGCCAAAATACCAGCTACTGTGTGTGCAAACCTGGTAAAGACCTATAGTAATCGTTTGACCTGTTATTGACAACAAAGGTTATATTACAAAGTACTGAGTTGAATTTTTGTTATTGACAAAATACTTATTTTCCACCATAATTTACAAATAAATTCTTTAAAAATCCTACAATGTGAATTCCTGGATTTGTTTCCACATTCTGTCTCTCACAGTTGAAGTGAACCTATGATGAACATTACAGACCTCTGTCATTATTTTAAGTGGGAGAACTTGCACAATCGGTGGCTGACTAAATACTTTTTTGCCCCAATGTAAACAGTCTATGGTCTGCACCATAGACTGTATACGCCGTTCTAACTAATGGGCCAAAAATTGGGCTCTCATGGAGTGATTCAAAATGGCCACGGGGGCTGGAAAATGTGAAAAAAACGCATCTGTGCATGTGTCTGCCGCATGAGCTCCATTCATTTAAACGAGTGACTTCTAAAGTCCACAGCGACTAAACTAGACTGGTCCAAAACACTCCCGTCAGCATTGACACACAGCCTCTAACAACAACCAGAGCGGCTGCAGCTGCCCTCGGGGTGTGCCCCGGGAGGCGGACCAGTTCACAGCAAACAACAGCAAGTGCCCCGTGGTCACGCACGTATTCTTTTAAAACTTTAATTCCCAGAGGGCCTATCTGCTCTGATGCCATCTCACATCATGGATCTATTATAATAACATCTCACACACTCATGTATCTGCAGCATTCTGAGTGATATTATGGATAAATGGACGGGTCATTCGGACATGCGTTAATTTTTTTTTTCCGCGTTTATGAAAAATTTAATTAAAGTGAGTCAACGCGATAATTTTGACAGCCCTAATAATAATTCATAATAATGTTGGTTGTGCCCAAAAGTAAAATGTTGTGAACAAATCAAACTGAACATTGTTTTGATTTTTTGTTTTGTTTTGCATTTTTAAGGAAGAGTCATTATCTGAGCTGATCTAAACTTTAGTGTAACCCTAGTTCTGCGATGGCAAGCCCCGAGTGTGATCTCTGCGTTGTGTTGGTTGTGTTGGTTGTGTTGGTTGTGTTGGTTGTGTTGGTTATGTTGGTTATGTTGGTTGTGTTGGTTGTGTTGGTTGTGTTGGTTTTGTTGGTTTTGTTGGTTGTGTTGGTTGTGTTGGTTGTGTTGGTTGTGTTGGTTGTGTTGGTTGTGTTGGTTATGTTGGTTATGTTGGTTGTGTTGGTTGTGTTGGTTTTGTTGGTTTTGTTGGTTGTGTTGGTTGTGTTGGTTGTGTTGGTTGTGTTGGTTGTGTTGGTTGTGTTGGTTATGTTGGTTATGTTGGTTGTGTTGGTTGTGTTGGTTATGTTGGTTTTGTTGGTTTTGTTGGTTGTGTTGGTTGTGTTGGTTGTGTTGTGCGGACAGGGAAACCAGGAGTCAATGGTGGAAGAGGCTGAACAGGCGTTCCTCATTTATTGCCTTCATAAAAATAAAAGAAAACTGCCTCATTAAGAAGAAATTGTTTTTAAAGTAATAATTTGTAGATTCAAAGGCTAGATTGTAGAGTCCACATGCTAACAATGACACGTGCAAGCTAGCACACTTAAAACAAAATACAAAGTTATTTTTCCCAGTTAACAGAGAAACAGCCTAAATGTACAATGACAAAATGCTAACCCACAATCAATATTTGGCACCCAACATACATTTATACACAAATAAACTTATTTTACACTCGGGAGCCCTCCTTACCTTGATAAAAACAAGAGAACTGCAGCGCTGCGGAGGGCGCCCTCTGTTGGCGCACGGACACATTACATCCTTACATTAGCATTAAAAAGAAGCAAGTATAAAATCTCCACGCGACAAATGGAGTGAGAACCAAACACCATCTCCTGATACTCATCTGAGAACCTCACTGAAAAAGTTATGTGCACCCCTGGTATTAAACTGAAGTGCAGCAGTGTCCAAACCTTCTGTGGACAAAGATCCAGAATATCATTCACAGTGAGTCTTTGCAGTTTGTAATGAATTGAACATTTAAATTGAGTCATTATTTGAGTACAGTTTTTATTTTCCCCTCCTATATTTAAGTCTTGTTGAAACTGTGTAAAATGCAACAACGGCTGACAATATTAAATATACTTCTTTAGGAATGAAACCTCTGCCTTGTTTTTGATGAATACTTAGGATTACTACGCTCCTGTGTGGTGTTGGTCATTCGTGGTGGTACTTGGAGAGGCAAGTATTTTCTGAGGTGGTACTTGGTGTAAAAAGTTTGAGAACCACTGTCTTATCTGATCTTATATTAATGAGATGTATGACCTTTTCTGATTAAATAATATGTTATTAAGTATTAACGGTGGTTGATTGAGCTGAAGCTGACGTGTGTGTGGCTGAGGACTGTAGTGATGTTCCCACAGAGGACTCAGTTGTAATGACGTCTGCAGTGATGTGATCAGGGCAGTGCCTAAAAGTACAAACACGCAAAAAGCTTCTAATTCTGTAATAAAAGATCTAAAGTGTTGTTATTGTTTATGTAGTTCGCGGCGTGGCTGTAGCTCCAGGTCTGCGAGTATCCCCAGATGAACCTTTATGGCCTGTTACAGAGCGTGTGGTTGTAGCTGGGGCAGGCCGCTGTCATGGTGTGGACTTTTTGATCACCTTTTCTTGTTTTATTTTGATATATTGGTTCTTCATTGTCTGTTTTCATGTCTGTTCTGTTAAGTGCCTGTCCCGCCCTAATGTGTTGCACCTGTGTGTATTTAAACCCTGTGCTCCTCTCCGCTTGTTGTTGGTCCATTGGGATTTTGTGCCAGTTTTATCCTGCTTTGAGTTTTTAGTTCTGTATCCTGGATTTTGTTTTTGTTTATTAAATCTCATATTTTGGCAGTCCTGCATTTTGGGTCCTTCATCCTTTTCAGAACGTGACAGCCGCGGGTCCCAAGCACAGGTGTGGTGCGGCTGCCGTGTCTTACCTGTATATTCATGATGAACTTGAGTAACTGATTTCTATGCTTTTGTAAAATGAGATGTTACATTTATCCAAAAATGTGAATTATGAAAATGTGAAACTGAATTGTGTCTTATTGATTTATCCAAGCAAAGAAACTAAGATAACCTGAGCTTAAAATGAATAAATGAAAATGAAAAAATTGTCTCTTTGTCAATGCTGTGTTTCCTTTAAATATGGTGTATTGTCGGGTTCGAAACGTAAATGTTTAGTCGAGCTGAGAGCTAATTGAAGAACATCGCCTACTCCTATGGTTACGTATGGACAGTGTTGTTATAGGCCTGGTTAAATCCTGGCAAGTTCTCTGCCCACTTCTGATGTTTAGCAGAGGCCCCATGTATATCTGATGTGGCTTTGAGCGTGTCCAAATGGTTCGGAGCGGCGTGGAGCGGTCTACATATGGTCCAGAGCGTAGTTTAACCAGTGATTAAATGGTCAGAGGTGCTCAGGGCCATTGTGCAGTGTGCCAATGCTGTGCTCAGCCCGGAGGTGTGGGATCCTGGTGCAGTAGGCAGTGTATAAATGACCAAGAGCTGTGTTAATAAGTTGGAGCACTGTTTGAGCACTGGTCTCTCTGACGTCAGGACAGAGCGCTGTTTTGGCCACAACCCCTGCTGCTCCCTGGACAAAATAATAGCCACCCAACTCAAAGACCGTCATACCAATAATTAGCTCAAACATCACAAACAACCTCCTATCCTACCCCCGGCGCCATCTCATAAATACAGTCCTGATTCTGATTGTGTGGAGGTTTTGTATAAAGCAAATCAAAAAATATTGCCAGTGAACATCCAAATAAGGTATGAGAAAAGAGAAAGCCAATATAATCTGAAAGGCACAGACATCTTTAAAAAACCCAGGTTCAATTCGAAAGCAATGGAACAAACTGTTACAGTGACAGGAATTAGTCTATGGAATAAACTTCAAAAAGAAGTGAAAGAGTCAGGAACTCTCTTGGAGTTCAAAAAACACATAAAAGCTGCAATGTTAAAGAAGTATGAAAATTAGACTTGGACAGGAATAATGTGAGATATTTGATTTGAACAAACAAACATGAATATGGTTTGTTTCTTTTTTGACCATTTGTAAACATTTTAGGAATATGACAGTTCGGTATTTTATTGTATATATTGTAAATAATTAAATATAGAATAAAAAAACATCAGAAAATACTGTAAATATGTATATGATTGTAACCATATCTATGTATATATATATATATATATTTATATATGCACATTTTTTAAAAGACAGCATGTAAAGTGTGAAGCAACAAAAGGGGCAGATATTATAAGACTTGTTCTTCTCTGCTCCGTTTCATTCATGCTATGTTGGATTGGCGGTCTTGTGGTGATTGCATGATGTCACTTTTGAATGAATGAAATAAATAATAAAAATACAAATACAAAAATACAAAATACAAATGACACCATATCCACATCTGTAACACTGCATTTTATTGAAACTTAGTACAAAAATGACACTTTTGGCATAAGACCTAATGCTAAAAAACTTATGCAGCCACCTTAAACTGGGGGTCTTCCAGAAACAGCTTGCCCACAATGTCGTCTGTGGGGAGGGGAGGGGGGCACTGAGCTGACACTGTGCTGGGGAAGGGCATCACCATCGGCTCGACCTGTCCAGGGATCTCAGGGTCGGGTTTAAGGGGCAGTGGGACGCCCACCTCTGCCTGGGCGGTAGGGGGTATGGCTGGCAGCGTAACGGCAGCTCCCAGTGGGGGGAGCAGTCTCCAGGCCCCCGCTGGCTCAGTGTGGGGGCTGCTCTCGTGTGTGTGCTCATGGTGGTGGTGGTGGTGCTCGTGTGGGTGCAGGTGTCGGTGCTTGTGCTCGTGGTCCAGTGCTATCTCGTGGTCGTGGTGGTGCGTGGACTGGCCGGCCACGTGTGTGTACTGGTGGTGCTGGTTTGGCTGGTCCTGGCTGTGGTCATGTGCCTTGTCGTGGTGAGCGTGCTCGTGGTCATGCCCGTGGCCGTGGTCATGGGAGTGGGCGTGGGCATGTCTGAAATTAAAAACAAGATTAGTATTTAAAAATGGATTCAACAATTTCTACGACCTATCTGCATATACAGTCCTTGAAACACTATCTCACAATAATTTATTAAGTGTAAGTGTACTGACAAGGGGTAATAAACAGATCATCAACCAGATGAATGAAGCAAAGGGAAGTTTGGACCTGAGCTGTGTGCAGCTATCGGACTTCTTTAAGTATTCAAGCACAAGTTTGTCCACCAGTGAACTTTGCACCAGGACATCCTGTCGTATCACGCCAGAAGTCTGACTCCAATCCGATTGATGCGTAAACATGCAGCTCCACCGCATTGGAAGCATGCAGCAGCTCCTCAGAATGCAGCAGCTCCTCAGAATGCAGCAGCTCCTCAGAATGCAGCAGCTCCTCAGAATGCAGCAGCTCCTCAGAATGCAGCAGCTCCTCAGAACGCAGCAGCTCCTCAGAACGCAGCAGCTCCTCAGAACGCAGCAGCTCCTCAGAACGCAGCAGCTCCTCAGAATGCAGCAGCTCCTCAGAATGCAGCAGCTCCTCAGAATGGACTGGGTTTACATGCATCTGTATCAATCAAATTAAAGTCCGGTTCTCTTGGGGTAAAATTCTTTTTATGGATGTAAAACCACCACAAGTGAAGACGTGTGCAGCATGTAGAGATTTGAGACATGCTGGTCAGTGACACACTCAGGGCCTAATAGTTATGGAATCGGTCTCCTACGCCACCTACTCCACCTACGCCACCTACGCCACCTACGCCACCTACTCCACCTACTCCACCTACTCCACCTGCGCCCACTGATGTCTGCTGTTGTTGTGTCCCTGGGCAAGAGACTTTACCCCACTCTGCCTGAAGCCCCCGCTGAAAGACCAAGGCTGGGGTGTTACTGACAGAGCAACCATCCTCCTGTGGACTCACCACCTGCAGGAGGACCAGTGAGGACCAGTGAGGACCAGTGAGGGTGGTCCTCACTGGTCCTCACTGGTGCCAGGATGATTGGGGGGCAGCTCTGGTATTGTATTGTAATGTGTTTAATTGTTTATTATTTTATGTTTAACTTTTCAGCAACATGTGGGAAGGGTGTGTAATATGCTTGGACTGCTGTCATTCTGTGAAGGTTTATTAAGACATTCAAACTTCTGCACCTGTGTCCAGCGTGGTCATGCGTGTGGTGGTGCAGGTCGCTGTCTGTGTGCTTATGGGCGTCGTCATGGTGATCGTGGCTCTTGGTGTGGTCGTGCACATGGTCATGGCCCTGTGTGGTCTCCAGCACACCAGTGTCATTATGAGTGTGGTCCGTGGCATCCCCCAGCAGATGGAGTTTCTCCTCCCTGTTCGCTGCCTGCAACACGCACAATTTTAGTAAAACAGATATAATAATGCAGTCGTTTAAAGCAGCAGTGGTTAAAAAGTCACATTTTTCGGACACTCAAAGAAGCATTATGACCAACCACAACATTTGTTTTTAATTCCAAATCCACTGTTCTTGGATCTGGAGTTTGGTGAGCGGGTGGGGGCGGTTGAATATTGTCATTAGCGTCTGCTTTATTCAACTCCTTTTCACAACATGTGTAAGTAAGTAAGTAAGTTTTTATTTATATACCGCCTTTTCACTGCAGATCTGAGTCTCAAAGCGGTTTACAATTGTTAATTTTGGGCACTTGTCTCTCACTCCACACAGAGATGGGAGCGGGGCCAGTACAGGAGGCACATGCCAGAACTATTGGACATATTTTTAGTGGTAGGGGAAACCGGAGTACCCGGAGGAAACCTACGCAGACACGGGGAGAACATGCAAACTCCACTCAGAAAGGCCCTGGTCCGACCGGGATTCGAACCCAGGACCTTCTTGCTGAGAGGCGAGAGTGCTATCCACTCAGCCACCGTGCCGCCCATGTGAGCACATATGCAATGGATGTACAGTGTTGGACATGTTCTGAAATATAAATCTGGATTGATTGATAATTTGGGTTAAGTGTCTTGCTTAAGGACACCTCAACTGTTCCACTCTGACATGTGGTATTTCTGGAAAGACTCAAAGAATTTATGTATATGCCCCAATGTGTATCTGAACATGTTTTTGTAGGGTGGAATACATATAAAAGGGAAAAGGACAAATATATATATATAACACCGCACATTTCAGTGTCCCCTTTTGTTTCTTATATAATGTTCAGACTTCACTCACTTTGCATTGTTAATTGTACTGTACTGTCTTATGTGTCTTATTCTTTTTTACTGCTGTAATCTGTGCAACGATGAGATTTCTCCACTGCGGGACGAATAAAGGATTATCTGATCTTAACTTATCTTAATGAGATTTATGACCTTTTCTGATTAAATAATATGTTATTAAGTAGTAACAGTGGTTGATTGAGCTGAAGCTGACGTGTGTGTGACTGAGGACTCAGGCCAGTGCCAAAAACATGCTCAATTGGTTTTTTAGATCATTTTTACACTACTGTATACTTTAAAGGAGCATCCATCCATCCATCCATCCATTTTCTACCCTTTAATCCATTTCTGGGTCAGGGGGGTGGCAATCAGAGATGCCACCCAAGTCTCACAGCACCAGCCCCTCACTGACCCTCTGCAGGTGGTGAGTCCACAGGAGGACGGCTGCTCTCTGAGTGTGAGCATGGCCTTGATCTTTCAGTGGGGGCTTTGGGCAAAGTGGGGTTAAGTGTCTTGCCCAAGGACACAACGACAGCAGTCATCAGTGGGAGTCGGTGGAGAAGGTGCAGAGTGGGAATTGAACCCACGACCTTCTGGGCTTAAGGCCAATGCTCTACCAACTGAGCTACTGTCGCCCCCTTTAAAGGAGCAATATCTAAAAATGTGGCCAAAAGTGGTACTGCAGCCTCTCCCACTCTCCCTGACTCAGGTTGCCAGATATGCAGACGAATCCAGCTGGGACCATAACAGCTGAATAGACAAGAGTTTTGTCAACAACAAATCTATAACCAACACAAAGATATAAATCCTGGTTTTATTCCTTGTTTTGTCGTTAATGATTTGAGAATCATAACGAGACCTTTAGTACAGTTAGTACTGTGGCCATGTTTTACTTTGCCAGTGACATTAGGTCGACGCAATGAGTTCTGGCAACGCGGATCACAGACTTTCTGATTGGTGAAACGGTGGAGGGCAGACATCGAAAGGAAAACAATAACAAGATAAGCGGGGTGTAAATCCAGTTTTGAAATTCAATTATCTCTGAACTACTGTTTTCTAAAGAGCATGTTTTATCAATGCCTTTTTGACAAATTAGGGCCATTTAGAGCATTTAGGCTGGTGGTCAGGGGCTTTCGGTCCCCTGTGTATCGCTCTGTGTGACCTACCTCAGACTCATAGATTTCACATTTCACATCCACAGATTCTTCTTTGTTGGAAGATGGAACGTGCATGTGGTGGCCTCTGCAGAAGCCTTTGTGCTAAACAAGACAAAATAAATAATTAGAGTCATTCTCAAACCTCAGGTCAATCACAAAACTCTACATTTGCTGTCAGTTGATTATATATAATTGTGTTATTCCTGCTCGTATTAAATCCCCTGCTTTGCTTTTTCTTCTGAAACTTGTGTTTTACCAAAGAAATTCTAAATCAGGGAAATGAGTAACCAGTAATCAAAACGTTAGGCTTTGGTATCGGATCGGCCTTTTGTTTACATGAAGACGGTGTTTCGGTCACTCCACACAGATGGAGAATGATGTTGGTCTTTGCTTGAGGAGGATGTCGTTGAGGAAGTGATTTTACTGGTCAGGCAGGTCGTGTTGTAAAGTTCTACTGCCCCCTACTGGTACAACGCTAGAACTACATATTTTTTGTCCTCGTGTAGATGCTGTGCACTTTGAATAAGGAGTCTGGTCGTTTTTTGTAATTGCTTTGAAGCGTCTCCGCAGCGTCTCCGCAGCGTCTCCGTCTAAACAAGGCCAAAGTTTACACACTGATACATACTGTTTTGTTTCCACTGTACTTACAGCAAACTCACAGCCCATGAGGGGGCAGTCGGCCGGTTTGTCTGCACTGGTGGGACAGGTGGTCTCCTGGATGGTGTATTCTGCTGAGTACGTCATGCCCATGCCCATCATATACTGCAAGACAAGCAACAGAGAGGAATGATGATATAATAATATATTTTCAATGTGACTAGCAGGATGTGAAAGCAGTAACTTGATAGTACATAAATGTGTTTGCAGTCACTTAAAATTACTGCAAATTTTTTAATTATTCTTCATGTAACACAGTTTTTCCTCATTATAAAACCCAGATAAGAAACAGAGAACGTTCTTTTAACCCTTTAGCAAAGGAAACTTGGGACATTCCTCTGAGGTCAAGGAGCAATTAGGAGATTCCAGCAGCGTTCACATCAGCCTGAAAGTTATACTGTGGTTATATGATGAATATAGTACATTATATGAATGATATATATGGGCAGTGAATCATAAGAAAGAGAGTCAGCTGCTGACAGCAATCGAAACTTAAGCCACCAGACCTGTTTTTTCGACTCTCTGGTTTTATTATCAATTGGTGGATTACAATTTTTAAGTCAAACTATTATCTGAGCGTAAAAATTAAAATGGTCTGAACTACACCAAATGTGCTCTTTACATGCTTCTGCGTTTTTACAAGTATAGAGAGCTGAGAGGTCATACAGTAAAGCCACAATCTAATCACGTTCTGGACCTAGGTCTGCTTAACGGAGCTTTAGGGTGTGCTTGCAACCGTGGCCTAAATTGCAGGCATTCAGAAAACCAATACATTTGCAAAGTTTTCTCCCCAACAATGGTTAGCAGAGTCCCTGCCCCCTTACCAGTATCCAAATGCTAATGTGGTAAAGTCTATGCTAATCCTACACTAATAATTACTCCCAATGTTTGTGAATAGTGTTCCATTGTGATGCGTTACCGCTGCAGAGGCACGAGTGACTTGCAGCAGTGAGAAGTGATTGGCCAGTCCACTTTCTTTGTTGAACTTCTCCAGGGATTTAGTAACTGTCTTTTGGATTTCTGCGTCGTCCTTGCTCACAAGAGAGGGGCAGTCTGGGCAGACCCGAACCACCTTTTCTGGAGCCACTGAACAGAGTAAATGTAGAGGTTACAAAGACAATATGTCCTGTGAGATTTCATAACACTTTTAAGCAACTTTTGTTAAAGTTAAACTCATCATTCTATCAATGTGCAGAAGCCAGTACTTTTCCCTTGTTGTGTCTATCTGAAGGCCAAGCTACATGGCACTGTGGCAGCTGCTGATTGGAGGTCTCCATGCCAACGCTCTGTATAATACACTTGCGTTCTGTTGTATCTGTTGTTCGTGCTGTCTCTACCATCGACAATAAAACATGTCTTCTGTCTGAATGAAAGACGCGATCCCAGACTATGTCATCTTCTTCAGTCCCTCTCATTTGTTCAGAAAAGTTCTATTAAGAAGTGAATTTCAATGCACATTTGAGTAACACAAGCTTGATAGGCCGCCACCTTCTGTCTCCTCTTCCTTTCTGAAACAGCGGCTGAATCACGGTCAATCTCTGTCATGACCGTGGGCTTTAAGCAGATGAAGCGGTGACTAAAGAACAAGGTTAGATTGACAGGCGTCTCAACAACCATAGGGTGTTTTCGTACTGCAGACGCATGTTGAAACGCGACATGTTGGCTGTGTTGTTTGGACCCGTGTCAGCTTTTCACCAAGGAGAAGAAAGCAACGTTATTAAATAAAAGGCTCTTGACAATCTTTTCTGCGCAGTGCACCCAACGCTATATTGAAGAGCTTGTTTCACGGTTTGTTATTCTGTCATTTCTGCAAAGTATTGTCCCTCGTGTGACTTGTGAGTAGTTTTGAAACCTTTGAAAGATCTAAAACTACAAATGTAAAGTAGGAAACGTAGTATCACAATCATCTTTACCTGGTCTGACCACGCAGTCATACTTGTAGAGCCGGACCACACGGTGAACTCTGCTGATGAAGATGGCCACTTTACACTGTCCATACACCTGCAGTACAAGTATAAAGCTCATGACGTATACAGTAAAAGTCTGTCTGTACCACATTTTTAAAACCTACTATTTGCATTTTAGGGCCAGTATATTGATAATTAGGTGTGAATATATTTAAGGGTTTTTTCTTGAGAGAATTCCCCCCCAAAATGAAGGCTGTCTCTGGTTTCTGAGGCCAATATATTGAATTTGGGGCTAATATCAAGATGCCACATGATGCAGTGTGGAGCAGCCCGGTCAGGACTGCTGGCTATATGCAGATCGGTGACTAGTTTCATCAGGGGTCTTTCCACAGCCCTCAGCCCAGCTCCAGCCCTTCAGCGTGGTGATTAAAAAGATTAGATAAACTTTATTCATCTCACAATGGAGAAATGTACACGTTACATTTGGCATATTCACTCAGATAGTGCAAAAGATAGAAGTGTGCAAACATATTTTAATGTGTATGCACGACTATGAGCCTACAACTCACAACAAATGTCTGATATTTGCACGTTCAGCAGACTCATAACCACAGACTGTATGCGTTGGACACACAGAGGCCACACATTTGTCATCTTTACATTTAATCTGCAACAAATGGGCATAAAAATTGCACAGTGCATGACAGGCTTTATTCTATCATTTTGTACTTTTAATTATTTCCCATTGAAAAGGTCATAGTCTTGTTTTGTTTTCCGACTTGTGTATTAATGACCTGTGTCAGTGAAATATGTGTATAATATTTGGCCTGACGCATGCTCACCGGAGTCCTGCTCATGTCCCGTACTTCACAGTTCTTGTAGTGAGTTTTACTGAGCACGCTACAGTTGGTCTCCAGCACGTTCATGGTCAGGTAAAACATCACACTGTTCTCTCCCTGAAACACACACACACACACACACACACACACACACACACACACACACACACACACACACACACACACACACACACACACACACACAAGTTTTTATCTCAGAATGCCTGTAAACATCAAACCCAATCCATCAACTCCTGGAGGAACTGGTTACATGGATTTTTTTTACATTATTGAGAGTTTTTGCCAACTTCTGATAAAGACTAGATTTATGTTTTGTAAAAAAAAAAATCTGATAAACAAAGAAAGAAAATGCTCTAGATGTACACGTGTTTTTTACTCTAGGAACATGCAGATTTAAAAACTTTATGAACCCTGGGCTTACTTAGAGCCATTGGTTCCTCTAAACAAGCCCAGAACACAGAAACAGATGGAGAAGGCCTTGAGAAGCGTTATCAGGTATTCCTCTGCTTAGAATGTAATCAAAAACATTCCATTTAAAAGGAACTATCTATGATCTACTAAGCTCCACACGTTAAAATATAAGTTTATGGTACAGGGTTTAATACCACAATTATTTCACTTTTCTGCCAACAATAAAAGAGATAAATAATTGCAATCACAGCTTTAATTGGTCTAAAAGGTTTGTCCCCCTTTTCTCAGGAGCTAAACGAGATCTATCTCTAACCAACCCGCTCAGATCCACTTAAATACAGCTTAAATTGTTTTTTACAAATAATGATCTTATAAGACAAAAGCAGCATATTGTGGTCGGATTAGTTCACTTTAAACCTAAAATACATGATATATAAGAAACAAATGAAAGTGCATGGATAAAGGCCTTACATGTTTGTCAATGTGCGCATTAGCGAGGTCACGCAGGCTGTACACATATCCCTCAGTGCGCTCCTTGTTGATCTTGTCCATGGCCTGTGCAGCGGCCCCCAGCACCACTGGGTCAGTACAGGAGGCCTCCTCGGGGCCCTGCTGCTCCACCGGGGCCCCCCACGAGGAACCCACAGACAGCAGCAAGAGCAGGACACAGCAGTGCTTCATGGTGACAGACGACAGAGAGACTGGAGCAGAGAGCAGAGATTTTATACAGAGACCCCCACCCCCGACAAAATGGACCCACACACTCAGAGCAAACATGACCATTGACCCCACCCACCCCAGCGCTATTCAAACAGGCTTACACAACTCCACATCAGAATATCTCATGCAGTTGCAAAATGGTGTTTTTGAACTTTTGACGTTGTGTTCTCGTCTAAATCAGAGCTGAGTTGTTTCCGGCCCCAGTCACGGTCATTTAACCAACTTCTAAATCCACGCAATGACACCTCCAGTGTGAGTGTATTTTGTTTCGAGTTATCCTATTGTTTATTGTATTCCTTTTTATTTGAGTACAGAATTAACCAAAATGCACACTGGGGTAGTCTTGCACAGTTTTTCCAATGTGGTTTACTGCAAATGGCAAATAAATGAATCTGAATCTGAATCTGAAATTACCAAATGTAATCAAAAGCTTAGATCTTGTTAGGGCCCACCCTCTTTTGGGCCAAACATTTCAGAAAAGCATGCTGTACTAAATACCATTTTTCCACCATAATTAGCAAATACATTTAAAATGTGATTTTCAGTGTGAAATTACAGTCTGACTCGTTATTATGAAAATATGTGTAATTAAATTACAGATATTACCTAAATACTACATAACCAGCAGCACAGGCCTAGGTAAACTGCCCTACCGTTGTGTGCCCACAGCGCTGCACATGGAGCAACATGGCAGACATAAGGCATAAGAAATGGCCTAGAAAACACTTTCCTCTATATTTGGTCACAGATGTTCAAGGATGTCCTATTTTAGGTCCCTAAATTTGCATGTTGATGTGTTGTTGAAGCTTGGGAAACACGAATCAATCGGTGAACTCGTGCATGTGCATGAAGCTATCACTACAAATAATGCATGTGATCCATTGTTGCTCAATGTACAAATACAGTGCCTTGCGAAAGTATTCGGCCCCCTTGAACCTTTCAACATTTTGCCACATTTCAGTCTTCAAACATAACGATATAAATTTTTTTTGTCATGAATCAACAACAAGTGGGACACAATCGTGAAGTGGAACAAAATGTATTGGATAATTTAAACTTTAAAAAAAAATAAAAAACTGAAAAGTGGGGCGTGCAATATTATTGGGCCCCTTTACTTTCAGTGCAGCAAACTCAGTCCAGAAGTTCAGTGAGGATCTTTGAACGCAGACATGTGAAATTAAAATTTTATATCTTTATGTTTGAAGCCTGAAATGTGGCGAAATGTTGAAAGGTTCAAGGGGGCCGCATACTTTCACTGTATCTAATATCCATACTGACCAAACACTGGACCCCCGACTCTCACACAATCACTTTACATTCAGCTTGGTCTCCAGATCTTTTTTAGATATGCCCTCTGGTGCTGCCCCCCCATGCCCTCTGGTGCTGCCCCCCCATAGAGACGCCTGCTGTGGTGCTTATATAGCTGCACCTCCAGCAGCTTTGCCTGGGGACAGGATTTTGTGCCTTGGGTCAAGAGGTCTGATAAGATAAGATTTGCTTTATTTATCTCACAGAGGAGAAATGTACATGTCACATTTGTCATGGATAGAACACTCAGATTGTGCAAAAGGAGGAAATGTGCAAACATGTTACATGCAGGATATATGTACAATAAAGTGACAATAATTATGTACAACAAAAGTGACAAGTGTCAATTGGAAACAGTGTCAATAGTAGTGCAGGTTTTCACACAGTGATCATTTAAAGTGACTTATTGTACAGTCTGACAGCAGTGGGGATAAAGGCCCTGCTCCTTCCTACACTGAGGGTGTCTCAGTCTTCCACTGAAGGAGCTCCTCAGCTCCTCCTCAGTCCTGTGCAGTGGGAGGTGTTGTTCATGATGGAGGTGGCTTTGACTAGCACCCTCCTGTCCCTCACCTCCTCCACAGAGTCCAGGGGCCTCCTGTCCCTCACCTCCTCCACAGAGTCCAGGGGCCTCCTGTCCCTCACCTCCTCCACAGAGTCCAGGGGCCTCCTGTCCCTCACCTCCTCCACAGAGTCCAGGGGCCTCCTGTCCCTCACCTCCTCCACAGAGTCCAGGGGCCTCCTGTCCCTCACCTCCTCCACAGAGTCCAGGGGCCTCATGTCCCTCACCTCCTCCACAGAGTCCAGGGGCCTCCTGTCCCTCACCTCCTCCACAGAGTCCAGGGGCCTCCTGTCCCTCACCTCCTCCACAGAGTCCAGGGGCCTCCTGTCCCTCACCTCCTCCTGACCAGCTTGTTCAGTCTGTTTCTGTCCCGCTCTGTGCTGCCCGGGGCCCAGCACACGGCAGCGTAGTAAATGGCAGAAGCTACCACAGAGTCATAAAAAGTCCTGAGCAGAGGCCTGCTCACTCCGAAGGACCTCAGCCTCCTCAGAAGGACCTCAGCCTCCTCAGAAGGACCTCAGCCTCCTCAGAAGGACCTCAGCCTCCTCAGAAGGACCTCAGCCTCCTCAGAAGGACCTCAGCCTCCTCAGAAGGACCTGAGCCTCCTCAGAAGGACCTCAGCCTCCTCAGAAGGACCTCAGCCTCAGAAGGACCTCAGCCTCCTCAGAAGGACCTCAGCCCCCTCAGAAGGACCTCAGCCTCCTCAGAAGGACCTCAGCCTCCTCAGAAGGACCTCAGCCTCCTCAGAAGGACCTCAGCCTCCTCAGAAGGACCTCAGCCTCCTCAGAAGGACCTCAGCCTCCTCAGAAGGACCTCAGCCTCCTCAGAAGGACCTCAACCTCCTCAGAAGGACCTCAGCCTCAGGACCTCAGCCTCCTCAGAAGGACCTCAGCCTCCTCAGAAGGACCTCAGCCTCCTCAGAAGGACCTCAGCCTCCTCAGAAGGAAGAGGCGACTTTGGCCCTTCTTGTGCAGGGCGTTTGTATTATGGACCAGTCCAGTTTATTGTTAATGTGAACACCCAGGTACTTGAAGCTGTCCACCAGCTCAATGTCCTCCCCCTGGATGTTCAGCAGCGTGTGGGAAAGTGGTTTTCTCCTGAAGTCCATGATCATCTCCTTGGTCTTACTGGTGTTCAAGCACAAGTGGTTGCGCTCACACCAGTCGACAAAGTCCTTGATAACCGACCGATATTCCAGTTCGTTCCCCTCAGACACACAGCCCACGATGGCGGAGTCGTCGGAGAACTTCTGCAGGTGACAGCTGTGTGTGTCGTGTGTGAAGTCTGAGGTGTAGATGGTGAAGAGAAACGGTGAGAAACGCCGTCGCAGATGTTTTGGTTTGGTTGTGTCCTCACCACAAACAATAAAAAGTTTTGTTGGATCCGGTCTTCTTTCATTAATATTATTTGTCCTTCATTATTTTCCCAACAGAACGTGTATTGAGTGAGGGTGGTCGTCACTCAGCTGATTTAAAGGCGTGAAAGTTGCCAAAAATACTTTCATGTGAAAAGGGATCGAAGCTAATCCAAGCTACAACTGTTTTAGGTCTATCCTGGAACTAGACCATTTTCATAAAAACTGGATTTCCAGGTTTTAATGTGACTGCAGTTCCTTTTGGTTCCTTGTTTCAGACGACCGTGATGCTCAGTGTTGATTTTAAGGATTTATTCTATGGGCATAACACGGTGATTCTCAAAGTGTGGTATGTGTACCACAAGAAGTACGGGGGGCTCCCTCTAGTGGTATGTTAAAGAATCACTGAAATAAATAAAATAATTAATTTAATAATTTAATTTAACCTTTATTCAACCAAGTCCCATTGAGATTAAGAACCTCTTTTTCAGGGGAGTCCTGGAAAAAGGTTACATACAATTACAGATTATAAAACCAATCTGAACCAAACCATATGAACCAAACCATATGATCCAAACCATATGAACCAAACCATATGATCCAAACCATATGAACCAAACCATATGAACCAAACCATATGATCCAAACCATATGAACCAAACCATATGATCCAAACCATATGAACCAAACCATATGATCCAAACCATATGAACCAAACCATATGAACCAAACCATATGATCCAAACCATATGAACCAAACCATATGATCCAAACCATATGATCCAAACCATATGAACCAAACCATATGATCCAAACCATATGATCCAAACCATATGAACCAAACCATATGATCCAAACCATATGATCCAAACCATATGAACTAAACCATATGAACCAAACCATATGAACCAAACCATATGATCCAAACCATATGATCCAAACCATATGATCCAAACTATATGAACCAAACCATATGATCCAAACCATATGAACCATACCATATGAACCAAACCATATGATCCAAACCATATGAACTAAACCATATGAACATGTCTCTGTTAGAGCGCAGCAGACCAAGCCTTATAAACTAAAGTGCAGCAGTGTCCAAACCTTCTGTGGACAAAGATCCAGAATATCATTCACAGTGAGTCTTTGCAGTTTGTAATGAATTGAACATTTAATTAAACAATTAAGTCTTACTGTTGAAACTGTGTAAAATGTAACAACGGCTGACAATATTAAATATACTTCTTTAGGAATGAAACCTTGTTTTTAATGAATACTTAGGATTACTACGCTGCTGTGTGGTGTTGGTTATTTGTGGTGGTACTTGGTGTAAAAGTTTGAGAACCACTGTCATAACAGATTATACCTGGAAATAAAGTTACTGCTATAATTAATGATAGTATATTTACTATTTGACTTAAAGTGCAATTTCCCAGAACATGTTAAAGATGTTCGGCTCCACATCAAACCTTTGGCCTCACAACAAAGCAAATAATTCACAGAATCCCTGTTCAAATCAATATGTTTTTGTGCAATTGGGCCGAACTCCATGCGGCTCATTACGCAACGAGCCCAAAGAGTTTTAGTTTGCTCGATTTATTTCAAAACTGCAGAACACATTTTCACATATCTTTACACTTTACAGCTTTGAAAAGGGGTTGGATGAAGCAGATGCTTATTTCTTCCCAACCCCCTCTCACAATTTAACACAATAATACACAGAATACAATGCAATTATTATCATACAAAATACACACAATATCAACACATTTGATACTGTGCAGTACATACCATAATATACCATACCATGGGGTATAGACACAAAACACCCATATACACATGCACACACACACACGCATGCACACACACTCGCACGCATGCACACACACACACACTCGCACGCATACACACACGCATGCACACACACACACACTCGCACGCATGCACACACACACTCGCACGTATGCACACACACACTCACACACACACAAACGCGCACGCATGCACACACAAAAGTTTATTATTTTTGACACTTTGCATATATTTCAATCCGTATTCCGTACATCTGTACACAGAGGCCCAATCCCAATCATGGATCTATAATAATATCTGGATAGAGTATTACTAGCTTACAGCTGTCCCACCCATGGCCACAGGGGGCGCTGTGGTACTGCAGACTGAACTCACAAGGGCTATCCAGAAAAAAGTCCCATAGAACTCAATGTAACAGCTCGACCTCAGCGGACAGAGAACCTGACAGAGAACCTGACAGAGAACCTACAGAGAACCTGACAGAGAACCTACAGAGAACCTGACAGAGAACCTGACAGAGAACCTACAGAGAACCTGACAGAGAACCTACAGAGAACCTACAGAGAACCTGACAGAGAACCTGACAGAGAACCTACAGAGAACCTGACAGAGAACCTGACAGAGAACCTACAGAGAACCTGACAGAGAACCTGACTGAGAACCTGACTGAGAACCTATTGAGAACCTGACAGAGAACCTACAGAGAACCTACAGAGAACCTGACAGAGAACCTACAGAGAACCTACAGAGAACCTGACAGAGAACCTGACAGAGAACCTACAGAGAACCTGACAGAAGACCTACAGAGAACCTGACAGAGAACCTGACTGAGAACCTGACTGAGAACCTATTGAGAACCTGACAGAGAACCTACAGAGAACCTACAGAGAACCTGACAGAGAACCTACAGAGAACCTACAGAGAACCTGACAGAGAACCTGACAGAGAACCTACAGAGAACCTGACAGAGAACCTGACAGAGAACCTGACAGAGAACCTACAGAGAACCTGACAGAAGACCTACAGAGAACCTACTCTGAACCTACTGAGAACCTGACAGAGAACCTGACTGAGAACCTGACAGAGAACCTGACAGAGAACCTGACAGAGAACCTGACAGAGAACCTGACAGAGAACCTACAGAGAACCTACAGAGAACCTGACAGAAGACCTACAGAGAACCTACTCTGAACCTACTGAGAACCTGACAGAGAACCTGACTGAGAACCTACTGAGAACCTGACAGAGAACCTGACAGAGAACCTGACAGAGAACCTACAGAGAACCTGACAGAGAACCTACAGAGAACCTGACAGAGAACCTACAGAGAACCTGACAGAGAACCTGACAGAGAACCTACAGAGAACCTACAGAGAACCTGACAGAGAACCTGACAGAGAAACCTACAGAGAACCTGACAGAGAACCTGACAGAGAACCTACAGAGAACCTGACAGAAGACCTACAGAGAACCTACTCTGAACCTACTGAGAACCTGACAGAGAACCTGACTGAGAACCTACTGAGAACCTGACAGAGAACCTGACTGAGAACCTGACTGAGAACCTATTGAGAACCTGACAGAGAACCTACAGAGAACCTACAGAGAACCTACAGAGAACCTGACAGAGAACCTACAGAGAACCTGACAGAGAACCTGACAGAGAACCTACAGAGAACCTGACAGAGAACCTGACAGAGAACCTGACAGAGAACCTACAGAGAACCTGACAGAAGACCTACAGAGAACCTACTCTGAACCTACTGAGAACCTGACAGAGAACCTGACAGAGAACCTACAGAGAACCTGACAGAGAACCTGACAGAGAACCTGACAGAGAACCTACAGAGAACCTGACAGAAGACCTACAGAGAACCTACTCTGAACCTACTGAGAACCTGACAGAGAACCTGACTGAGAACCTACTGAGAACCTGACAGAGAACCTGACAGAGAACCTGACAGAGAACCTGACAGAGAACCTGACAGAGACTGACAGAGAACCTGACAGAGAACCTGACAGAGAACCTGACAGAGAACCTACAGAGAACCTGACAGAAGACCTACAGAGAACCTACTCTGAACCTACTGAGAACCTGACAGAGAACCTGACTGAGAACCTACTGAGAACCTGACAGAGAACCTGACAGAGAACCTGACAGAGAACCTGACAGAGAACCTGACAGAGAACCTACAGAGAACCTGACAGAGAACCTGACAGAGAACCTACAGAGAACCTGACAGAGAACCTACAGAGAACCTGACAGAGAACCTGACAGAGAACCTACAGAGAACCTACAGAGAACCTGACAGAGAACCTGACAGAGAACCTACAGAGAACCTGACAGAGAACCTGACAGAGAACCTACAGAGAACCTGACAGAAGACCTACAGAGAACCTACTCTGAACCTACTGAGAACCTGACAGAGAACCTGACTGAGAACCTACTGAGAACCTGACAGAGAACCTGACTGAGAACCTGACTGAGAACCTATTGAGAACCTGACAGAGAACCTACAGAGAACCTACAGAGAACCTGACAGAGAACCTACAGAGAACCTACAGAGAACCTGACAGAGAACCTGACAGAGAACCTACAGAGAACCTGACAGAGAACCTGACAGAGAACCTGACAGAGAACCTACAGAGAACCTGACAGAAGACCTACAGAGAACCTACTCTGAACCTACTGAGAACCTGACAGAGAACCTGACTGAGAACCTACTGAGAACCTGACAGAGAACCTGACAGAGAACCTGACAGAGAACCTGACAGAGAACCTGACAGAGAACCTGACAGAGAACCTACAGAGAACCTGACAGAGAACCTACAGAGAACCTGACAGAAGACCTACAGAGAACCTACTCTGAACCTACTGAGAACCTGACAGAGAACCTACTGAGAACCTGACAGAGAACCTGACAGAGAACCTGACAGAGAACCTGACAGAGAACCTACAGAGAACCTGACAGAGAACCTGACAGAGAACCTACAGAGAACCTGACAGAGAACCTACAGAGAACCTGACAGAGAACCTGACAGAGAACCTACAGAGAACCTACAGAGAACCTGACAGAGAACCTGACAGAGAACCTACAGAGAACCTGACAGAGAACCTGACAGAGAACCTACAGAGAACCTGACAGAAGACCTACAGAGAACCTACTCTGAACCTACTGAGAACCTGACAGAGAACCTGACTGAGAACCTACTGAGAACCTGACAGAGAACCTGACAGAGAACCTGACAGAGAACCTGACAGAGAACCTACAGAGAACCTGACAGAGAACCTGACAGAGAACCTGACAGAGAACCTGACAGAGAACCTGACAGAGAACCTGACAGAGAACCTGACAGAGAACCTACAGAGAACCTACAGAGAACCTGACAGAAGACCTACAGAGAACCTACAGAGAACCTGACAGAGAACCTACAGAGAACCTACAGAGAACCTGACAGAGAACCTGACAGAGAACCTGACAGAGAACCTGACAGAGAACCTGACAGAGAACCTGACAGAGAACCTACAGAGAACCTGACAGAGAACCTACAGAGAACCTGACAGAGAACCTGACAGAGAACCTGACAGAGAACCTACAGAGAACCTACAGAGAACCTGACAGAGAACCTGACAGAGAACCTGACAGAGAACCTGACAGAGAACCTACAGCTTTCATAAAGGTCAGATTTTGTGTGGATGTTAGTGTCCCTTGTCGTCCTGAACTTGTTTTCTTCTTAAATCCTTCGGTTTTCTTTAAATCCACACTTTACTTCCACAAACTCTGCTCCTTTCCTTCCCGCTCTGACTCCGCTCTGATGAGCAGCTCTGATTGGTCAGAGCGCGGCGAGCCCCTCTGTGCATGAAAGCCACACACGCTTTTTTGAAGCAAAGCATCATGGGAGCTCGTCCAGTGCACAGAACCGGGAGGACCAGACGATGCCCAAATACAGGCGAGTTCTGCTGATCTCCCGGTCTCCGTGAGGTCCCATGATCCACTGAGCACAAACCATTCACGTGAACAGGACGCCATCTTGGATCAGCGGGGCGTGGCTCAGTCAGAATGTGTTTAAATGAGATCAAACTCTGGGTTTCAGTTTCTTCACCTCAGACCTTGGTCGGGGTCTCTCTCTCGGAGGTCTCGCTCAGCAGTGGAGGATCTTCATGAAGGCTTTTCTGAACTCGATGTTGAAGGTGGTGTAGATGACCGGGTTCACGGCGCTGTTGAGGTAACCCAGCCACGTGACGGCGCTGTAGAGCGACGGCGTGATGCAGCAGCTGGAGCAGTGCGCCTTCAGGACGTGGGTGAGGAAGAACGGCAGCCAGCAGATGATGAAGACTCCTGTGCAGACAGACAGTGATGAAGACTCCTGTGCAGACAGACAGTGATGAAGAGTCCTGTGCAGACAGACAGTGATGAAGACTCCTGTGCAGACAGACAGTGATGAAGACTCCTGTGCAGACAGACAGTGATGAAGACTCCTGTGCAGACAGACAGTGATGAAGAGTCCTGTGCAGACAGACAGTGATGAAGACTCCTGTGCAGACAGACAGTGATGAAGAGTCCTGTGCAGACAGACAGTGATGAAGAGTCCTGTGCAGACAGACAGTGATGAAGACTCCTGTGCAGACAGACAGTGATGAAGACTCCTGTGCAGACAGACAGTGATGAAGACTCCTGTGCAGACAGACAGTGATGAAGACTCCTGTGCAGACAGACAGTGATGAAGACTCCTGTGCAGACAGACAGTGATGAAGACTCCTGTGCAGACAGACAGTGATGAAGACTCCTGTGCAGACAGACAGTGATGAAGACTCCTGTGCAGACAGACAGGATGAAGACTCCTGTGCAGACAGACAGGGATGAAGATCCTGTACAGACAGACAGTGATGAAGAGTCCTGTGCAGACAGACAGGGATGAAGACTCCTGTGCAGACAGACAGTGATGAAGAGTCCTGTGCAGACAGACAGGGATGAAGACTCCTGTGCAGACAGACAGTGATGAAGAGTCCTGTGCAGACAGACAGGGATGAAGACTCCTGTGCAGACAGACAGTGATGAAGAGTCCTGTGCAGACAGACAGGGATGAAGACTCCTGTGCAGACAGACAGTGATGAAGAGTCCTGTGCAGACAGACAGGGATGAAGACTCCTGTGCAGACAGACAGTGATGAAGAGTCCTGTGCAGACAGACAGTGATGAAGACTCCTGTGCAGACAGACAGTGATGAAGAGTCCTGTGCAGACAGACAGTGATGAAGACTCCTGTGCAGACAGACAGGGATGAAGAGTCCTGTACAGACAGGGATGAAGAGTCCTGTGCAGACAGACAGTGATGAAGACTCCTGTGCAGACAGTGATGAAGACTCCTGTGCAGACAGACAGGGATGAAGAGTCCTGTACAGACAGACAGTGATGAAGACTCCTGTACAGACAGACAGTGATGAAGACTCCTGTGCAGACAGTGATGAAGACTCCTGTGCAGACAGACAGGGATGAAGACTCCTGTGCAGACAGACAGTGATGAAGACTCCTGTGCAGACAGACAGTGATGAAGAGTCCTGTACAGACAGACAGTGATGAAGACTCCTGTGCAGACAGACAGTGATGAAGACTCCTGTGCAGACAGACAGGGATGAAGACTCCTGTGCAGACAGTGATGAAGAGTCCTGTACAGACAGACAGTGATGAAGACTCCTGTGCAGACAGACAGTGATGAAGACTCCTGTACAGACAGACAGTGATGAAGACTCCTGTGCAGACAGACAGTGATGAAGAGTCCTGTACAGACAGACAGTGATGAAGACTCCTGTGCAGACAGACAGTGATGAAGAGTCCTGTGCAGACAGACAGGGATGAAGACTCCTGTGCAGACAGTGATGAAGAGTCCTGTGCAGACAGACAGTGATGAAGACTCCTGTGCAGACAGACAGTGATGAAGACTCCTGTACAGACAGACAGTGATGAAGACTCCTGTGCAGACAGTGATGAAGACTCCTGTACAGACAGACAGTGATGAAGACTCCTGTGCAGACAGACAGTGATGAAGACTCCTGTGCAGACAGACAGTGATGAAGAGTCCTGTGCAGACAGACAGGGATGAAGACTCCTGTGCAGACAGACAGTGATGAAGACTCCTGTGCAGACAGACAGTGATGAAGACTCCTGTGCAGACAGACAGTGATGAAGACTCCTGTGCAGACAGACAGTGATGAAGACTCCTGTGCAGACAGACAGTGATGAAGACTCCTGTGCAGACAGACAGGGATGAAGACTCCTGTGCAGACAGACAGTGATGAAGAGTCCTGTGCAGACAGTGATGAAGACTCCTGTGCAGACAGACAGGGATGAAGACTCCTGTGCAGACAGACAGGGATGAAGACTCCTGTGCAGACAGACAGGGATGAAGAGTCCTGTACAGACAGACAGTGATGAAGAGTCCTGTGCAGACAGACAGTGATGAAGACTCCTGTGCAGACAGACAGGGATGAAGACTCCTGTGCAGACAGACAGTGATGAAGAGTCCTGTGCAGACAGACAGGGATGAAGACTCCTGTGCAGACAGACAGGGATGAAGACTCCTGTGCAGACAGACAGTGATGAAGACTCCTGTGCAGACAGACAGTGATGAAGACTCCTGTGCAGACAGACAGTGATGAAGAGTCCTGTGCAGACAGACAGTGATGAAGAGTCCTGTACAGACAGACAGTGATGAAGACTCCTGTGCAGACA